GTAATAAAAAATATATATACAAATACTCAATATTATTGAGTTCTTTTTTTTTTTTTTTTTTTTTTTTTTTTTTTTTTTTTTTTTTTTTTTTAAAGGATAGTATTCCTTACCAAAAACCTGGCGTTTATAAAATTGACTGCAGCTGCGGTAGTTCATATATCGGACAAACGAAGCGGACTATCGCCGAACGTGTAAGAGAACACATAGCAGCGGTCAAAAATCGTCAAGTGGAGAAGTCCGCGATTGCAGAGCACTTATTATCATCTGGATCAAACCACTGGATCGAGTTACATACACCTCATGTCCTTTCCACTGAACGACATTACTATCCAAGGATTGTTCGTGAAGCGGTTGAAATCAAAAAACACAACAATTTCAACCGGGAAAGTGGATATAAACTCTCACCAACGTGGAATCCGGTTATAAAAATGTATAAGTGTCGCGATCGCAAACAACCACGAACAGTATTCTCGGATACCGTAAGTGCAGTGTGTCGCCACCTTTACGTATAATAAAATCAAGTGGAGGGTACATCTGAAAATCAGTTAAAAACATTATTACCGGATTACCCTCAACTAAAATCAGAAGACGACACCCGCCAGTTCTCCAGTCTCCTCGTGACCACGGCTGCTGTAACGTAGCCGAAACGTCGAGGTAAATTAATTGTTTTAAAAAATGCACGAACAAGACCCGATTGCATATAATTATAAATTATTGAGTTCATTTCTATTTTGAAGTTCAGGTTGAACACAGGATTTATGAAAAATATTTTTTCATAGAAAAGTTGAAGCCGAGTCAAAAAAAAATACAAAGTTTTATTAAAGTTTAGTGTTACGACAACAATAGTTTATTTTTTAAAAGATTATGATTCACAAATTCTTAAATGATTACCAAATACATTTTTCGATCAAAACGATTTTGTTCATTCAATCCCTATTAAAAAAAAAAAAGTTTCAATTTTCTTTACAAGTGTTCATGTTTTAAATATTAAAGTGTTAGATTTTAGTAATAATGGTTATTAATGAATGACATTAAATATTTATGTGTTAAATAAAATCAATATCTAATATATACACAGTAATACTATTTTTATAACAGCGGTTTATCTGGAAATAAAAATTGCGTGAATTGGATTTTAAAAAACGTCACCGTATACCCATGATACATGTTATGTGAAACCGAAATACTATACAATTTAGTACATACTTTACTTTAACGTTTCGCGGCGGAATAGGATACCTACTAAGTCTGTGGACATAGGAATAGTGTTTGAGACACGTATATTCAATTTCAAATGTATTCTTATACAAAAAAATGGAATCGATAGAATTCTACACTAAATGACGAGAATTCGGATACATGCATAGAGTATCTTTGTATACTTGTGTTCAAATTCACTTTATTTGGTGTAGACATTCTATTGATTTTCTATTCTAGTGGATGTGAATTGTCAATACAAATATTACCAATTCAAGATTGAGCGGATGACTCTTTTTGAAGTGAATGAATGAATTCGAATTCAAGTTTGGATTTATACAGAATCGCAGGGCTGGTTTCAAAGAGAGTATAGTCATTGTTTTTTTTTTTTTGCTGCTGTGCTTTAGATTTGATTCATTTGTTTTCTGAACAGTCATCATCCGTATAATTCATAGACCTTTTTATACATCATATTACCGTTCTCTATGTTATAGGGCCTTGTCAATTTTATTTTGTGTATCTTTTAATGCTGTTTTCTGGTGATTCTCTTGAAATTTGTCTTGGCGCTGTTGGTTATGCTTCCTTGTAGATGTTGGCTTGCCTTTTGGTTTAGGATTTCGCTGGGGTGCAGTTTTCAAACTTGTGGTTCTCAAATTTTCCTGGTATCCAGGCAATAGGTCTAAAGGTTAAAAATAATAATTTATTTCGAATTCAAGGGACAATTATGTATTGTTAACTCCATTTGTTGCTGTGTTCATTTTCCTAGAATATAGATTATTGTATTTTGTAGGTAAGTAGTGTATATCATAAGTCTTCTTTGTTTAGTAATTGTTGAAGTCTTTTCAGAAATTTGGATGAAGTAAAAATGTTGATTTAAGTTAACTATCAAAAAGCATTTTGTTTTAGTGGTGTAGACATGTCGTGTTCTGTTTGCAATATAAAACAAGAAAAGCACTTAACTATTGGAATTTCTTATTAAATTTGATTTTTGCTAAGCAGAACAGTTATGTATTTAATTGGGTGTCTTGGGAAAACTTCAATGAAATGTAATGAAACTGGTTATTAAATTGTTGAATGGGCCTATTGACAAGATCTTATGTAAGACATAATCTGATGCCTTGTTAGATTTGATTTTCTCTGCCAATGATTCTCAATACACATATTATAGGAATCATGTTAAAACCCAATGAGCATATCCTTGAACCTCATTATATTTATTATAATTATAATTGAAGGAGTATGCATGTAATTATGGCTAATATTGCCATATCAACTCCTCATACATACAAGATAGTTATTTTCTGTTATTATTGGCAGAATTTATTGATTTTTTAAAAATAATTAACAATATTTTTTAAAGTAATCATGTGTATTCCAAAAGTCAATGATTATATTCCTATATCCTTAAACAAACACAGATTATTCAATCACTGGAATAGTTAACTTTTATGTTCAAACCATAGGATCATTGTGCTTGTTTGCATCACATTATAGTTAGCAAGTTTAAAGAAGAAAATGAAATTGTTATAGCACTACATAGGTTTTTATGAAAAAATGGTGTAATGTATTCAAGCTGCCTTAGATACTTAAGTTTATAGTTAAAAAGAAGTACTTTAAAGTAATATCTTATGTTCAATATATTATATTTTTTTACCCTTAATTTAAATATACTAAAGTAAAATCACATATTTGCACCACAACAATAAAAATGGTACAATCAGTGAATTAAAGGTGTTTAGCCAAGTCTTGCTGAGAACTATTTCATGTTTTCATTTAACAAGATTCAATAACTGAAAATTTGTGTGCATCTGGAACTTCTACTAATAAAACTTTTTGGTTTTCAACCTCATTGCTATCTTAAAGTTGTAAATATGGGGAGATTGACCCAATGTCTGTTAACAGAACTTACAGAAACTTTCTGTCTAAACAAGTCCTTTGTGTGTCTAATGTGATCAACGTTGAAGGAATGCTCCACTAATATAGTAGTGAAAAAAATTACAATCTGTTTATATTAATATCCAAAAACTTACACATATTTATATGTATTTCTAATATATCTCTAGAAGTCAAACAAAGGTGATTCTAAGTTTAAGGTAATTAATGGTTTATAGGTAATTATAAGTTAAAGAGGGCTGAGGTTTTCTGAAGTTAATTAAACATTAACCGCCTAACTTCAATGTCTCTAAAAACATTTAACTGGTTTTAAGATAAGAATTGTTTATCCCTTTTTAAATTTGAAGTTGTTTAAATTTGAATTTCCATCTTTTTTAAGTTTTTATTTCATGCATTTTAGTGATATTTAACATTAAAGATGACTACTCCAGTAATTGAATAATTTACCTATCCATTTTAAGTGTTTGTTTGAGAGTAACAAACATAATGCATTCTTAATGCGAATTTAATACTTATTGGTTTTCTCATAGATACTATTGCCAGATCTGGACCAATCTTTAAGATACATACTAGTTATTAAAGACTTCAAAGAATAAAAAAGTTAATACCTATTTTCAGACCTGCTCAAGAACATCAATATTTTTGTTAAATGAGTAAAAAATCATTTGACCTCTCATTTTTAAGTTTGGTGCAGGTTATTGTCTTAATATTTGTTCCTAAGATATAAAAGAAATGTCATGCTAGGTCAATTTAAAAAAAATTCCTTAATCATTATGTTTTTACAGAATACTACTTGTACTTCATCTTCTTCGACACCTGTGCACATGACTAAGTAACAATACTCAATATTTTTGTGTATAAGTTTGTCCAGCACAAAATCTCTATTATTCAGTAATTTTTTACCAAACGTTGAGGGCTTTTGCTCATTTTCATTATCTCTTGGCATATTGGATAATGATGTACCTATGTCATGAGGACACACTGGTTTTTTTGTTCTTTGTCTGGATTGTAATACTGTCAATGGCTCATCATCAGAAACAGATTTTTATCCATATCCTCAATATGTAGTTGAGGTTCCTGATCAATTACTTTTAAATATCCAGCGTACCCAGTACAAAATGAAGGCAGATATTTTCACCATAGAAGCAGCTTAAACTTTTTATAAAAAATCTAGAAGTCCTACATAATTTGAGAAAGATATTATCTTCGCCTTATACAGTGAATTCAACATCAAATCCATATTACTGTGCGTTACACACATGCAGGTATTAAGCCATCACAGCGTGGTTGCAAAACCCAAAACAGACGGAGCTTACAAAACATTGAAGAATTAGTTTTCTCTATGAATCTTTTGTGCAAGTTGACTAATGTATCCAGCATAATTCGCTTTTGTTTACGTTCTCCTTGGTTTTGTATAAAATCGGGAAAAAAGGATTTTTACTATTAATATCTCCTTACATGAACTTTTCGATTCGTTTTTTCAACTTAACACAGCTGTTTCTTGCATTTCGTCTTTTGTCTGATAGCGTTAATTGATTACTAATTTTTTTTAAAGAAAATTGGTAAACGATTAACTAATGCATTTCTTTTTTTCCAAAAACTTTGTACTTCTTTACCAAATTTTCGCTTACAAATCTTTTATATATCCTCTTCTCTTTGTCTGTTGACAGATTCGCAAAATTTTCTTCTAGTTGTTGATATACAAGTTCACTAAACAGAATTTTTGTTTTTACGGTCTCTCTATCCTTTGGTGAATCGATTAATGCATTGACTTAGACATTTTTTTCAACAGAATTTGATAGTAAAATGAATGTAATATGTGTATTCATCATATATACTATATACGTTTGTAATAATATGCTTTAGAAGAACGCGATCGTGCATCCTACCAACTTTAACTGACGACGCCTCGAGATGTAGTCTGACTCAGCCAAAGGAATAAGAGGGAAAGAAACAGAGGTGGAGGACAGTTTATTAAAAGACAGACGTGACACAGAAAGGAAAGGAAAAGGGAACAGTGGTGAAGAGAAAATTGTAAAAGACTAAGTTGTTTGAATTATATAAACGTAATTGTTTTGTGAACCCGTAGTAATCGTTTTTTCATTCATTCTATTTTGGTCTTCAATTTAGATATTGTAGCTGCCTGTGTCGAAATCGACAAGTTTCGTGCCTTTCTCGCGCAAATTGACTTATTTCGTGCTATTTGCATACGCTTATCATTATATTTAGTCTTTGGTGGTGGTGGCAGTGATGATGATGGCGGTAGAACTTCATTTTCCGAGTTTTGGAGTGTTGTAGAGTTATTATTTATGTCTCTAGCATTACAAGACCACATTTTTTCCTTAATTTTCTGCTGTTCGTATTTTACAGGGTTATTTTTTATTTTTTGGTATCGTAGCCTTTCCGCCACACGATTTTTTCTTAAGCGTTTGCTCGAGTAGTAGTTTGTCTTAAGGTTGTTTTTTCTTAGTGCCATGATCTGTAAAAACCGTTTGGTAAATTTTTTCTTGTTAGTGTTAAGTAAACGTAATTTTATTTATTTATTAGTTTCGAGCTATTTAAAATTGTTGGCTGGTAAACGTAATCGGGTTGAAGGACAGAACAGGAGAGATTTGTTAAAGTTGAAAGCTCATTACCAATTTCAAGTTTTTAAATTATTCAAATTTACTCAAATAGTTTAATACAGCACCAGCTTAAATTGACAATACAAAACAGTATTACAGAACCTAAATTATAAAATCTATTCTTCTGTTCTTTTTTCTGGTGAATATTTCGATCGCTTTGTCTATTGAAATATCTCAGGGAAAAGTTCCCTATTGAATTCACTTAAAGCCTCAATGGCACAAGAAGGCTTGTCCTGTTCCTACTTATTTTTTCCAAAATATTTTTCATAGCGAGTACTCGCCGGATACTATGTTAAGATCAACCATATGTTCGTAAAGATTTAAAGATTGGACACCTATTGTCTCAATTGTAGAGGTTGGTATGAAACACTGAAGTTTTCCCACAAGCTCCTTGTGTTCGCTGTACCTTCGTTTGAGCTGATCTATAAAATCGTCAAGGATCGGGATTGCCATAGATATTCGAAAATGGTTTGAGGGTCGTCCGTACAGTAATTACTTCTATGGCGTTGGCGAACAGCGATTCTTGGCAAATTAACTTCTTCACCGACACCACTTTTTAAGGTTTCTACTGTTTCAAAAATCTTAAATAAACTCAAGGTCGAATAATTTCCTGATGTTTTCGAAATGGGCAACAACATTTTCAATGTTGTTTACTGCAAACTTTAGGTCACAATAGGGAGACTGAAGGACTGAACACGAAAACTGTTACTGAGAATACTTATATTAGCCAATAAACAAAAGCGCACTACAAATTCACTAGTAACCATGGACTTTCGGGAAGGACGATGCTTTAGAAGACGTCTCAATATCCGAACTTTCGCTAAGATTTTCTAGTGTTTCAACAACGGCCTTGAAGATCTCTTTAAACTTAAGCAAACTGTTGTGATTCTCCACCTATCTGGTTTCGCACATGGCTGGTAAAGTATGCCATTTAGTATCAGGAAAGTTCGATTTTATGGGGGATTGCAGTAAAGCCGTCCTCTTTGGAGATGCTTTGAAAAAGTTTATGAGAGCTTTCTGCAGGAGTGGCATAATGCCAAATTGAGTGAAGTACACATTCCCTTTCCACTATGGACATATAATGCTCGAGGAAAACTTTTTTTCACTATTGCCTGCACTTCTTTGAACGACCCCTTCATAGCATAAGCTCCATCGTACCCTTGTCCTATCTTGACCTATCATGTTTGTCATCTTCATTCCTTAGTCTTTTAGGGTTGAAAGAATTGTGTTTGCGAGCCTCTCTCCCGTTTTGTAGTCAGCTTTGACAAAATTCATTGCAAATAATAAAATTTGGTCTTTCTGATTTAGTGTAACTTACACTAATTAAACTTGCTCATGACCAGCGATATCCGCTGTTTCGTCCACAAGGACTGAAAATGCCTTAGCATTTTTAACATCTGTCACAATTTATTTTTGGATTAATTCCCCATATATGTTTATCAATTCATTTTGAACCTTAGGACCAAATTTGATCTCTACACTTGACTATTATCCATAAAAATTGCACGAAAATTACCGTCATTTTAAGAAGGCTCTTCATCGTTGACTGATATTGGTCCATGACCATTCGTGCCTCTCAATGGCAGCTCTTGCTGGCCACAGAATTTTATCGTTTCTACAATTGATGCCAGTTTTTTTCTGTTATCTACCACTTGTTTCTGTCTAGCCGAATCCATAACATTCCATATATCAGAATTTAAGTCATATTTTGTTTTCAATAAGTTGCTCCAAAAAAGTGTAGCTATGCGACTCGTGGTTTTTAAATGATTCTTAAGCGTCCTTCCATTTTGTAAAAGGCTCTTTCACAAGGGATTTCAATGTTTGATTACATCCTTTTCCTACACATTCATAGGTGAATAAAACGCAATATTTGCAAAAAGCACCATCAAGTTGAGTATAATAGGAGATTCCTATTTCCACTTGCAGAATAGTATGACTTTTATGAATAGTCAGGGCATAACAAATTTGCATTGGAAACTGACAACGAGTCATCTGTATAGGACTATTTGGTCCTATAGACGTTTTAAAAAGTATGCGTGGGATTAACTCTAAATGTTCACCAGGCCTGCGAACGGTGATTAAACACGGCGACATGTTTACGACGATTACTATTGTTTCGTTTACTTAGCTGTCGGCAAAACTTAGACTAAGACACCCAACATACGGTGCGTGGTAAGATCATGCGGTGGAACACTTTTCAGTTGCAGCTTATTAAGAACGTCTTGCGCCTAAATTGATTTCATCTACATTTACAGTAATTACTTCGTCAATTGAATAAATGTGTGTCGATAAGATCACACGATGGGCATCAGGCTCCTCAAGAATGACGTCAGGAAATACAAATGACAAAAGAAATCATTGTCATATCTACTAAATATTGAATATTTTTTCCGTAAGGGACAGTGTGGATACTCAGGGTCTTCTCTACACCTCTGTGAGGTGTTTAGCGAGATGGGTTTTAATTTTTTGCCAAAGTACTGATGATTTAACAAAAATGTTATTAATTAGGTCAGAGGGGTCTTGGCATTAATTACTACGGGTGGTATTTGACAATTATATCCCCAAATATAAATTCAAATTTCATAAGATCGCGCAAAGACTATGAGATACATGTGCATCGGCGTTTCATCGTAAATGATGACGTTTGTGTGACAAATAAGTTAGGCTCTTTGCAAACCATTTGTAATGTACTAATATCCAAGGTCATTGACTGGCTGTAGCGGTAATTTTAATATACTATGTGCGGTGGTTACCACGACGTAATTTTGAGCCGCGATACCCAAACTCGCCGTGCATAATACGATTACTTTCAAATTATAGTGTGTGTGTGCAGTAATTAATTTCTATAAAAATATTTTACCAGTTCCGGCAGGACCATTTATAAACAAATTGGTAATATAACTTTCGAAAAATCACGATCTTTTAATAATCTTTCAATATAATCAAAAATCACTCTCTGTTCTGCGGTAAACTGGGGTTACCATTCACCGACAAAATCAGAAAGCTCATTTTGATCATATTCAAGATGTTCGCGACCTAACTCAGTATTATCGTCACGAATCGAGGGCATGCCTTGCTCAAACGCGGACGTCCCGTGTTTCCGAAGTAATCTACTAATATTTATAAGAGCATGTTAGTATGATTTTAGCTCGTCATCATCTGGCAAAAGCTATGTATACGCTCAATTGTGACTTTTTCCCAAAGCGTTGCTTCTCTAATTCCGTTTACAGCAAGTAGGAAACATTGAAGTCGAGTCGTACTTAAAAAAGCGCAATCTTCTTCCATAGCCAACTCGTACTCTAACTCATCGTTCGCGATACCGACGGCTTTAACAGCTTCTTGGAAAGTCGTACAATTTAGTCCACCAAGAGCGTAAAGGTCGTCATAACTGCGACACGGAAATGAAGCCAAAAGGAGTCGTAAGTAAAACTGTTCACCTCTACTTGGTCCGACCCAAAATAAGCGCGTCACTATAGGCAAACCATGTAACTCGCGGGACGCCTGCGGGGTAAGAGGTAGGTGGGCGCGGGTATCGGTACACACGTAATGACTTGTTTCGAGATAAATCCCGAGATATCTTACTCGGATGCAAAATAAATAATAAACTTTGTCATTTCATTTCACTTACATATAAATATAAATGTTTTTGGAACATGTTTACTTATTTTGGAACATATTTATTTATTTATTTTAATATTTATATTATTTATGCAATATTTATTTTTTCTTTGATATTGATTCAAGTTGTTCGATTATCACCGGCTTCCCTTTACGAATACGAAGACATTAGCGTAGTCTTAGATTAGTAAGATGCTAAGTAGATTAGGATGTATGGCTCAGTTCCGTTGCCTTCCCAATATCAGGTAAAAATAAACAATCTCTGGTGTTTGTTCACGGGTTGACGGATGGGACGGGATGACATAATAAAAAATAAACAATATTTTACACTTATAATAAGAATTTATTTCAATCAGAATTAAGTATATATTTATTTTACAGGTTTTCTTCTTCACTGATGTCCATGACACTTGAATCATCTTCTGTTTCTTCTTCTGTCCAGTAGGACGAATCCGAGTCATCTTGTAAATTGATTATTATTTGGTCCATAGCATTATCGAGTAGTCCATCGTGACTACAATACTCATCTTCAATTTTTTGGACATGACTGTCACATGCTGCCCATTTTTCTGCTGGAAATTCGTTGAATAATTGCTCTAGTGCAATCTTCTTTTTATCTAAATTACTGTCCAGTTCGTTTCTTGCCAGTTGACCTTTGATATCCCCCCAAACCAACTCAATAGGATTTAAGTCTGGGTGGTAGGGGGGAAGTCTTAATACTTCGTGACCCGCAGCTTTGAGCAATTCATCAATCTTATAAACATTTTCAGAACCATTCTGCTTAATCAGGTCACATTTTCTTAAGGAATTATCGAATTCGACATTATGTCTTTGCAGCCAGGCCTGCATGTTAGCCTTTGTGTTGGTCATCGTTGGCTTTTTATCTTCCTGCACTGAGTGATAGGCAGCGTTATCTATAACGATTACAGATCTTGGAGGTAATTTTGGCAATAATTTCTCTTTGGTCCATTTATTAAAATTTACAAAATTCATATCATTATGATAATCTCCGGTTTTACTTTTCGATTTAAAAATTAATAGAGCTCCTTCTACAAAACTAGCTTGGCCACCTGCATGTACAATAATTAATCTTGCCAATATGTGACAGCACTCCACGTTCTTTTGCAGATTGCCAACACGATGGAATATTTAAAGACGCATTTACGTATGTCTCATCAAGATAAACAATAGATCTCTTGTCTCGTCGATGTTTTTTTATCACGTTTAGATATCTCCATCTCCAAGAAATAATATTTGGTTGCTCAACAAGCAGCTTTCTTTTTGACTGACATTTTTTAAATTTAAAACCAAGTTTATGCAGTAACTGTCTCAAATATTCTCGACCACAGTTTAAA